ATCAACAATACTTTTTTCAGTCAATTGATACTTACATAAGAAAGTTTAAGAAAACATAGAGGTTCAGATTTTCGGCCATGCACTCACAGCGCTTATATTAAAAATTTGTTACGTGATTCATGAATACATATTGAGGTAACTTTGGTGTTAAGAAATAAAAGAGCTCACAGCTGATTATACCACTCAATTATCTTTGTTGAGTAGATTTATTAATAGTTGTATCAATATTCAGTATCTCCGTTCGCTATTAGCCGGTTTGCGATGAAGTAAGACGGGCCGGGCGCGCGCGTGAGCAGCAACACTAATTTGCAGGCGGGGAGCACAAGCTGGGCTGGTTGAGCAACAACGATGCTGGTCACCAATGTAGATGGTGTTGGGAAAAGAATAACAAAGGTAAAGTCCTCCAGGTAAACGACGTTGAAACAACATATATTTCCTTGTAACAACGTTTAACCAACAGTTAAACGTTGTAACCAATGTTTAACGTTGTAACCAACTTTAAACGTTGTAACCAACTTTAAACGTTATAACCAACGTTAAACGTTGTAACCAACGTTAAACGTTGTAACCAACGTTAAACGTTGTAACCAACCTTAAACGTTGTAACCAACGTTAAACGTAGTAACTAACGTTTAACCAACGTTATTTCAACGTGAGATGCCTGCTGGGAGCAGTCACCGCTGCTGGACGCCAGAATTGAGAACGGGAGAGTCAGAATTACAGCAGCAGCAGCACAGGAAGTGAGTCAGGACGGAGGGCGACAGAGGAGGTCGGTGAGGCTGGATAGCACCGTTGCTGCTCTCCCTCATATCAATGAAAGGAGACAGCGACCAACCGCGACCTCCTTGCACGCAACAGGGGCTATGGTAGCGAACTCTTCACAGGTGCACGAGAGAGACATACTAGAACACGATGCATATTAGAGACATACTAGTACACGATGAATATTAGAGACATACTAGAACACGATGCATATTAGAGACATACTAGAACACGATGCATATTAGAGACATACTAGAACACGATTGGTAATACAGTGCAGCGAATGCTGAAAATCCGAAGCAGGATAATTCGTAGCTAAGCTATACTTTAACGGCTTCGAGAAAAATAATAAGTAATATGAATTATTTCTAATGTCTTAAGTAAAACATCTTGAAACATGTTGAATTCATTCAATTGATAAAATATAATTTCGAGTTTCTGCCAACATATCAAGATCTATTTTGAATTCGGCATATTTTATGTATCACCACTTGAGCAGAACCAAAAAAATTGACTGTCAACATCAACAACAGTCGATTCAATGTCATAGTATTATGAAATGAAGATTGCGAACAATTAACACTTGTTCAAAAATAAAATAAGGCTGAACTACAATTAAATGTATTCAAATTGCGCATTAAACATCATATTTCTTCTGCATATATAGTGCATATTTCTTCTTCTGCTTTTCTATAGTGCATATATATGTATAGTTGTTACGGTAATTTCCCGACGAACACACGCGACTTCACACTCATTTTCTAAAGTCTATCTTTCATCACTGAATACTTATTAATTTATGATGACAGAACTTGTGAACGAGTTTAAGCCAAACTTATGGAATAATTGAACGACTTAAAGCAAAACTTTCACGATATACTTGAACTAAAATGCGTTCGTAAGAGCTCGCACGCTCGCAATCTTCTACTTGACGACTGCAAATGAAGAATCGTGACTACGCCTTTCAGCTCTACTGCCAGTGTGCGTTCGGTGCGTAGCGCGACAGCAAGAAAGGCGCGCTAGGAAACAAGAGCAAATTATCGCATGCAAAAGAAGGCTTAGGAGTTTCCACGTTATAAAGAGGCACGCCCTGCGCCAGCACGCTCCTACACTCAGAGAAATGTGTGACGTTTTGTCCAAATATCGATGCACTTTTTGCCCATGTGTGGGTTATCCTGACTTAATTAGCCCCAGAGTGTGTCCATGCTACTGCGTATTTTCTATGCTTTTGCAGTGGGTGAGAAAATGTGTCACTATTTTTGGCAATATGAGGCATTTATTTTTTGAGTGTAGCGCTCGCTCTACGCACGCCGCCTCCCGCCAACAGCAGGGCCGACAACCCAATGATCGGCGTGCTTGAAACGAGCGTAAATAAGGTGATGAAGTTGAGGAAACAAACGTCTTTGGGAGCAAGAATGTTGAGAATTGAGAGAGAGAATTGTTTCGCATACGAGAATTGTTTCAGTGCAACTGCACATACGATAGTGTATTCTGAGCATTAACAATGCATCGTTTACAAATCATTGAAGTCTCATTCAACATTTCATTAATAATTCATAATTTAAATACAAAGAAAACGCCAGGCTAGTCATCACATCTTCATCGACAACGTTTCAGAGACCAGCTCCATCAACGTTTCAAGAAATTTTGTTAGATTGCTATGGCGTCACTTATTTCCAAGCATCATGTGTCTTAAGAAAGCATGGCGTTAATCTAACGTAGTTGTTTTTGATATAAATCTTAAATAAATGTAATTTTTCAGATATCAAATGAATTAGCAAGAGCATTCCAATGTTTCAACTACTTTTGCAGGTAACGAAAACATTTTTTGTTAATGTCACTCAACTTCAACTAAAACATTTTTTTGTCAATCAACGCCAAATTCAGCTTCGGAAACGAAAAATTTCCAGTAAACGAAAACTTTTTTGAGAGAGATCAAACTGAAAACTTTTCTCAGGTCCGGAGACTAAAAAAAAAACTACGGCGACGGCGAGCGTCGCACGGGAGCAGTGACCGCGGCTGCCGCGCAGCGCCGCCCGCTCGTCCGGAAGAACTAACACAATTTGAGGGCAACCGCTGGACTTTGTTTACAATTAAAAAATATAACTCAGTACTCACTGCAGTGAGTGACAGAGAGCGCATTTTCTCGTCGACGAAAACGTTAAGTCACGGACGGACAGACGGACGGACGGACGGACAGACGGACATGGCGAGCACAATAGTGCATTTTTTTCATAAATGAGAAAATGCGCTACAAATGAGTCCGCAGACTTCGGGAAACGGATGCACTTGCCGCGTAACGCTTCATAACTCCATATGAAGCTTAAATGTCTTACAATCGTATTATTATATTTTTAATAACATAACATAACATAACATAGTGATGTCGGCTCTGAAGTGTAGGCCTGATGTGGCCTGTCGCCGATTCTTTTCCATTTCGTGCCTTGTTCATAGATCTAAACTCGTGTCATTTGACCGGATCTTTTCATGACTGGCGATAGTTTGAAGAAGCTAATAGACTTCCACCGGGTTCGATAAGGAGCTAGGCATTTCAAATCTGAACATATATTTTTCCATAGCTTTATCTAGTCTGTTCTTGAACGCGTTCATACTTGGAGCGCCAACGATGTCATCGGGAAGGCTGTTCCACATGTCGGTGATTCGAAGCGAGAAGAAATTTTGTCGCGTGGAGAAGTTGCAGCGCAATTTTTTTAGCTTATAGCCGTGGCCCCTGGTGTTGGTTCTTGTTTCAAATTCTAGTAACCCTTCAGGGACCTTGTATAGACCATGAGTATACTTGTATACTTCAATGAGGTCCCCACGCAGACGTCGATAACTGAGGCTTGGAAGCTTCATAATCTTCAATCTTTCTTCATAGGACTTGCCCTTCAAGCCTGGAATTATCCTTGTTGCACGTCTTTGAACATTCTCTATTAAATTTCTGTCCTTTTCGAATCTCGGTGACCACACAACGTTTCCAAACTCTAGACTCGGGCGTACGACGGCAACAAACAACTGCTTCATCGTTTCTGCCTCTAGGAACTCGTATGAGCGTCTGATTAGTCCAAGAAGTTTGTTGGACGTGTTAGCTTGCGTTTCAACATGCTTAGAAAATTTCAGCTCCTTGTCGACATAAACTCCGAGATCTTTTTCCACACTAGACTTTTCAATCATTACTCTCTCGTTGCAACCATGTCTTCTCATACTGTAATCTTGCTGTTCATTGTTCTTCCCGAGGTGAAGTACTTTACACTTGTCAGCATTAAACCGCAGCTGCCACGTATCAGCCCAGTTAACTAAGCTGTCAAGATCATCTTGCAATTGCGCTTTATTTGACGCATTCTTCACTGTATTATAAACTTTTGTGTCGTCGGCATACATGGAGCACACGCTGGATACTACTTCTGGCAGATCATTTATAAAAGCAACGAACAAAATAGGCTCCAGGACGCTTCCTTGTGGCACGCCACTGCGCACTGATGCCCAGTCTAATAACAGCAAAACTGTGACATTCGTCGTATCAGTTAAACAGCACGAGAGCAGCGCTGAACGACAGTTCAACAAGAGAACATTTGTTTATTCATAAGCTGAATTTCAATTTTTAGTGATCATATTCATTTATCATCAGTAGTTGATTCAGACGCTTTTTAAATCAACCAATCGTAAACAAAAATCATTAGCAAAAATAGCATTAAAATGCTTATCATTAATGTATATACTCGATTGCTTACGAAATTACTTAGAGAGACGTGTGCTAGTGGGCGCATCATCCACTAGCACATATAAGTCTGTACCTCGCATGATAATTTACAAACATAAACATAAGCAGCTTCATTCAAGAAGCAAGAGGTTTTCTATTCTATGCAGATCAGTGGGGCTGTACTATCAATAATAGGTATGAGTTCGTAACTACGTTGACCAATCCCTGACAGCTTTTCAAACTAAACCCACCAATCACAGACGAGAAATCGGCCGCTCTTTGTACTTTGGTGAGTTTGGCGCTAGTAATCATAGGGTCACTAAACTAACTAATAGTACGCACCTGATGGTTACAAAAACAGTACATCAAGCGAGACACATAATGCATCAAGTAAAGTTGTACTCACTTCGTGGAGTTGGTGCAGACACCCCGCCACTGAGTTGTACTCACTTCCTGGAGTTGGTGCAGACACCCCGCCACTGAGTTGTACTCACTTCCTGGAGTTGGTGCAGACACCCCGCCCCTGAGTTGTACTCACTTCCTGGAGTTGGTGCAGACACCCCGCCACTGGTTCTTGTAGAAGAGCTGGAGCCGCCCCAGGACAGGAGTGGGGCCATCCACGAGACGTGCCTTCAGGTTGCCCAAGGGAGCAGGAGGCGGGGCACTGCTTGTCAGGGTGATGCGATCATACTGCGTACCCTGCAGGTGTAGAGGGTATACTCAAGTATAGACAGATCCTTTGAATGTGAACCCTTAACAAATAGAAGACCGCCTTAGGCAGAAAAATGCATATAAGCAAATAACCACAGTGAAAATGTAAGTGTGAATAAGAGAGTCTAAGCTACGAATATTAAAGATGCATTATTTACAAAGAATTTATGATTCAAATAATCAAATTTTAACTCTGATACTAAAAGATCAGTTTTCAACATTTGAAACTGTAAATAGCCGTCATTAAGAGGAAAAATGCCACATATCAGAGAGGCTGGTTTGTCAGATCTATAATAATTTTTACCGAGAAAATAAACAAGAGTTTTAAGAAAAGAGCAAAACCCAGGAGCTTGCAGCAATAAAGGCGCCCTTGTACCAGCCTACAACTTTCCAATTGTTACAAAACCAGCTGCGTCTACCCATGAACCAAGCCAGGCAGACTAAGATAAGGATATAGCGTCAACATTATAACTTATTGAGTAAACTGAGAAACATTGTATGTCTTGGTTTAAAGTAGAGTATAATTTTTTGAATTTTTCTTACTCAAACTGTTTTCAATGCAAGAGAATTGTATATAATTGTACTTTGAAGATTCTAAGACATGAGCAACGGTATATATGAAAGAATAAGACAAATTTAATAACACCAATTAAGATATATATTTAATAAGAGGTTCTTTTAATATGTTTAGTTATTAAACTTAGTATCAGTAGTAAATTATTGATTTGTATTATGTATTTAATCAAGTATTAGTTGCTTTCCCGATTAAAATACCTACATAAATGAACGCCTTAGGAATATAACTTTTTAGACAGCGCCAAATAGAGTGTGCGCACATCGCCATTAATGTTACAGAAACATGAACTGAGAGACATGAACGCGTCTGCTGAGTAGTGATCCTTTTGGACCGAGAGGTGCTAGAAGTTCAAGCCCTGTGAAACTCCGTTTCCAACTGCAAGGTGTCAGCACAGTAAAATTCAAGTTAAAATATGATCGATCAAAATTAGGTCTCAAACTTCGTTTCAAGTGCAAGGTGTCAACACAGTAAAATTCAAGTTAAAATATGATGGATCAAAATTAAGTCTCAAACTTCGTTTCAAAATGCAGGGTGTGAACACATCAAAGTTCAAGGTTAAATATGAGTGATTTAGAAATTAGCGAAGCCAGATACGGAAAAATAGACCTGTTTATATTGAATACAGCCCCATTAGAAGTAAAAAAGCCTAATTTTTAGAAAAATAAACCCATTTGTATTGAAAAGAAGCCCCGTTAGTTTGGAAAAATAAGTCCGTGCTTGGCGGGTTGCAGAGTTAAGCTGGGAGCCGAGTTCCAGGCTTGCGTCAAGGCCACACACATTTGCACTAACCGGTTCCAGAACAACATAAAAACAATGCTTTCTTGAATAAAATGTTATATAAAAAATTAATGAAATTGAATTATTCAGGAAATATCGAATTTGGAAGCTCCTGAACAAATTGCAATGACCGCAGTAAGCATTGGGCATTCATCCTGTGCCCAGAATCTCGGGTAAGCATTTCCAAGGCCAGCTCTGTAGAATATTACGATGACGTCATACTACGATGACGTCACAGACCTGACTGTGACGTCACACCTGCCGTGATAGAACAAAGCAGTGATACCTGAACTATCAATGGAGCGAAATTAACGTGGTCGTGCATGAACTGCACGCAGGTTAACAAGAACAATGAACACTGAGGACTAACTTCCCATTAATTTGGATTCAGCTAAAAGAAGAGGGAAACAATGGTAAGGATTTTACGGATGAAGCATTTAGAACTTTATCACAAATAATGAACGCGTAATCTAGCGTGTAAACGATAACAAAACTAACAGCGTAAGAACGAAAACAGAACTAACAGCGTAAGAACGGTAACAGAACTAACAGCGTAAAAACGATAACAGGACTAATATCGTAAGAACGAAAACAGAACTAATAGCGTAAGAACGATAACAGAACCAACAGCGTAAAAACGATAACAGGACTAATATCGTAAGAACGATAACAGAACTAACAGCGTAAAAACGATAACAGGGCTAATGTCGTAACAATGATAACAGAACTAACAGCGTGAGAACAATAACATAACAAATAGGGCAGTCAGGGAGGCGCCCAATGAGTGTGAGTCATCACCGGACATTAATGCAAGCTGTGAATGAACAACATTACTGATACGCGGGCTGCAGGCACCAGCATTTGATAAACAGAAATGACTCACTATTGTGAGAAATGGCCCAATGGGTCATGAGGATCAGCCTGATGGTGTCGATGACGTATATGGCTAAGGTTAATAATGATGCGATAATGATGGCCGTGAAGCAATTTATCATTCAAACATATTTGCTGATGATAGTGAGATGATGTCTGGAATGTGTGTCTGCTGTGTCATTGGCTTTTATCCTTTAATACCGCGATTAAAATATAAGGATAGAAGTATAGAAATATGTAACAAGGTTTCAAATTAAGAAATACATAAATAAATGAAGATATAAGAAAAAATACATAAACAAAAACCTTAAACGTGATCTTTAATACAAAAAAATAAAAACTAACAATATAATCAGCATCAGATCTGTTTTACATGCAACAAAGTGTGGAAATAAATAACAGTATTTTCCAAGCATCACTTGAAACGCCAAGTGAAAAAGAGCAGAGTAAGCAGTACAGCAACTCGTGCGAGTCTCTCATAAGGTTGGAAGGTCGCATCGTGGAGCCTGCAATGAAAGGGAAAGCCCGTCTCGCTCCCATATCCAGTGCGTGGGGCTGTACTAGCAAATAGTAATGAGTGAGTAAATTCGTCAGCCATTCAATGAAGACCTTTTAATTTAAGTCCAACAATCACAGACGTGGAAACGGCACTTGCGTGTACTTAGGCCGCTAAGTGTACATGAGGCCGCTACGCGTACTACCGCTACCTTAGTATTCTTAGTTACCAGTGTCGCAACGTGTACTAGTTTTGATAAGAAGGCTCGTGCTATTTCGCACGCGAGAAATTGTAGAATATCAAAAAGATATTGAGTTGATACTCGTCATTTAGTTTTGATTTTAAGCAACAATTTTTTATGCTCATATTATTATACAAATGATGAATGAATGATGAAGCACTGATGCTGCTTCCAATCAGTGGTGACAACATTTAATTTGAAAAATGATCGAGTCCAAATACTTTCGTACGCTTGGACTTAGCAGTGTGCGTTTAAACTCAAGCTTGTCTAGGTGTATGAAAGCGATTCAATACACCTGCTATGTAACTGATAATTATAAAAACCGTTATAAAATTACTGTCAAACTAAACACAAACGCTGCGACTTATTTGCATGCATAACATGATGTAGATTATTCAAAAAATATACCCTCGCAGGTTAGCAGTGTAGCTGAAAAGAGCGGTACAAGAGTGCATGTTTCAGATTAGGATCACAATCAGCCGTATAGGTATAACGGTCAGAGCTTATCGCGAGATAACAGCAGTCTGCAGGCAGTTCAAATTTATACGAACGCATGCAGCGTGACAAACAAATGCTAAAGCAAGAGCGCAAAATATGTATGTCCCGAACTTGACAACAATCATAAAAAATGTAGTACCAAACTGTAGATTCCTCAAACTCGGTTTTCTCGTCAAATCAATGCGACTCTCAAGTAATTTGAGAAATGCAAACTTTAGCATCTGTTTTTGGTATTATGAAATAGGTAGTAACGTACGTATTCTTGATATTATTTGCCATCACAGAATCATAGTTAATAACTTGAACATGATCGATGTGTGCAAGAATCTGTGAACTCTTTTTTTGAACGTCCTAGAGCATTAAAATAAGTATGTACCTTTTTATATGAGAACATTTTTCTGCAGTACAGAAGTGAATACAGTTTAGCACAAGCGCGTCAAGAGCGATATCAAGATAACAATGAAGAAAAAATAGTAAAAATATTAACAAAAACACGTTACTCAGAGCATCCAGTAATAATCCATACTGTATGTAAATTTAGCTGGCCGCATAAAGAAATGAGAGCAAAATTAAAATCATTATTTTCAACACAGCAGAGTCCGAGGCATCAGCCTTACGAAACAACTCAGGCGATAATGCAAACAGTTTCATTTTATACAAAAATTTGAATATATTCTTGCTAAATTAAAATGCCTATATATTCGTGGTTTAGGCCTAAGCATTAGTTTTGTGTCCGGTCTCATGCGTTGTGGCCCCGAGTTTGTACGTATATAAGACTACTGATAAGACTGATAGCTTATCCTTGATGCACGGTGAGAATGCCTTCTTGTAACACCAGTGTATTCTTACTACAGAACCTTAATTAACGGAACTTTTATTCGATGACTCAACTTTAATGCTAACATAAATTTACGAGGCTAAATAATTTGTTAACTGTAGTGCGCATTATTCATTCGACTTGACATAAAAAGTTCACGGCCATTTTACAGTCTAAAAAGAACAATTGCTGCTTTCATTCTGTAATCAACATCATTGTAATATGGTATCAATTGATTCAGGAAAGGCGTAGCAAGACTTCATTGACTGATTGATAGAATTATTATTCAGCCGTCATCATCGTAGTAATATGGTGTTAAGTGAATGGATTCAGGAAAGTCTTATCAAGAATATACTGACTCATGAAACAATAAAGGATTTCACAGGAGTACATGAGCACCACGCCCAGCACACAAAACTCGGTCCACATCCTGCACGCGTCTTTTGTGCGCTTGAAGGAAGCGAAACTCAGACGACACAATGGAGAAAGGCAAGCCTGAAAAGACAGGAAAGACACCACGCAAGATCCTACAATTAAAAAAAGATACGCTGGAGAGACACCACGCAAAATCCAGCAAGTAAAAAAACACGCAGGAAAGATTCGGCAATTAAAACCACGCAAGATCCTGCAATTAAAAAAAAGACACCCAGATAGGAAAGACACCACGCAAGATCCTGCAAAAAAAGAAACGCATGAAAGACACCACGCA